ACTAACAGCACACCTCTCAGGAGAAATTCTACAAACCAAAAGAGATTGGGGGAAAGTCTTCAATATTCTTCAAGAAAGGAATTTTGAACCCAGAATTTCATGTCCAGTCAAACTAAGCTTCATAAGGGAAGGAGAAATAAAATCCTTTCCAGACAAGCAAATGCTAAGGAACTTTTGTTATCATCAGGCCTGCCCTACAAGAGCTCCTGAAGGAAGCACTAAATATGGAGAGGAAAAACCAGTACCAGTCACTGCAAAAACCAAAATATAAAGACCAATGACACTAGAAGAAGCTGCATCAACTAGTGTGCAAAATAACCAGATAGCATCATGATGACAGGATCAAATTCACACATAACAATAATAACCTTCAGGAGACCCATCTTATCTGCAAAGACACACACAGACTCAAAATAAAGGTATGGAGGAAAATTTACCAAGCAAATGGAAAGCAAAAAAACAAAACAAAAAAAAGCAGGGGGCCGGGCGCGGTGGCTCAAGCCTGTAATCCCAGCACTTTGGGAGGCCGAGGCGGGTGGATCACGAGGTCAAGAAATCGAGACCATCCTGGTCAACATGGTGAAACCCCATCTCTACTAAAAAAAAACTACAAAAAATTAGCCGGGCATGGTGGTGCGTGCCTGTAATCCCAGCTACTCAGGAGGCTGAGGCAGGAGAATTGCCTGAACCCAGGAGGCAGAGGTTGCGGTGAGCCGAGATCGCGCCATTGCACTCTAGCCTGGGTAACAAGAGTGAAACTCCGTCTCAAAAAAAAAAAAAAAAAAAAAAAAAAAGCAGGGGTTGCAATCCTAGTCTCTGACAAAACAGACTTTAAACCAACAAAATTAAAAAATGACAAGGCTATTACATAATGGTAAAGGAAACAATTAAACAAGAGCTAGCTATTCTACATATATATGCACCCAATACAGGAGCACCCAGATTCATAAAACAAGTTCTTAGATAACTAGAAAGAGACTTACACTCCCACACAATAATAGTGGGAGATGTTAACACCCTGACTGTCAGTATTAGATCAATGAGACAGAAAAAATATTCAGGACTTGAACTCAGCTCTGGATCAAGTGGACCTAGTAGACGTCTACAGAACTCTCTACCCCAAATCAACAGAATATACATTCTTCTCAGTGCCACATGGCACTTATTCTAAAATCAACCACTTAATTGGAAGTAAAATGCTCCTCAGCAAATGCAAAAGAATTGAAATAGTAACAGTCTCTCAGGCCACAGTGCAATCAAATTAGAGCTCAGCATAAAGAAACTCACTCAAAACCACACTATTTCATGGATATTGAACAAACTGCTCCTGAATGACTCCTAGGTAAATAATGACATTGAGGAAAAAATCAAGAAATTATTTGAAACCAATGAGGACAAAGAGACAATGTATCAGAATCTCTGGGACACAGCTAGAGCAATGTTAAGAGGGAAATTTATAGCAATAAATGTCCACATCAGAAAGCTAGAAAGATCTCTAATCAACACCCTAACATCACAATTAAAAGAGCTAGAGAGGCAAAAGCAAACGAATCCAAAAGCTAGCAGAAGACAACTAGGATCAGGGAAGAATTGAAGGAGACAGACACACAAAAAACTGTCCAAAAAAATCAACAAATCCAGGAGCTGGCTTTTTGAAAAAATTAACAAAATAGACAGATCGCTAGCTAGACTAATAAGAAGAGAGAAGAATCAAATAGACACAATAAAAAAATTATAAAGGGGATATCACGCTGACCCCACAGAAATACAAACTACCATCAGAAAATACTCTAAACACCTCTATGCAAATAAACTAGAATATCTAGAAGAAATGGATAAATTCCTGGATGCATATATCTACCAAGACTAAACCAGGAAGAAGTCAAACCCCTGAATAGACCGATATCAAGTTCTGAAATTGAGGCAATAATTAACAGCCTCCTAACCAAAAAAAAAAAAAAAAGCCCAGGACCAGAAGGATTCACAGCTTCAGAAATACAAAGAGGAGCTGGTACCATTCCTTCTGAAACTATTCCAAATAGTTGAAAAGAAGGGACTCCTCCTTAACTCATTTTATGAAGCCAGGACTATCCTGATACCAAAACTGGGAAGTGGCACAACAAAAAAAGAAAACTTCAGGTTTGTACCCCTGATGAACACCAACGCAGAAATCCTCAATAAAATACTGGCAAACTAAATTCAACAGCACATCAAAAAACTTATCCACCACAATCAAGTCAGCTGTATCCCTCGGATGCAAGGCTGGTTCAATATATACAAATCAACAAATATAATCCATCACATAAACAGAACCAAAGATAAAAACCATGTGATTATTTCAATAGATGCAGAAAAGGCCTTTGATAAAATTCAACATCCCTTCATGTTAAAAACTCTCAACAAACTAGGTATTGATAGAACATATCTCAGAATAATAAGAGCTATTTATGACAAACCCACAGCCAATATCATATTGAATGGGCAAAAGCTGGAAGCATTCCCTTTGATAACCAGCACAACATAAGAATGCCCCCTCACCACTCCTATTCAACATAGTATTGGAAGTTCTGGCCAGCGCAATCAGGCAAGAGGAAGAAATAAAGGTATTCAAATAGGAAGACAGGAAGTCAAATTGTCTCTGTTTGCAGATGAAATGATTTTATTTTAGAAAACCCCATCATCTCAGCCCAAAAACTTCTTGAACTGATAAGCAACTTTAGCAAAGACTCAGGATACAAAATCAATGTGCAAAAATCATACAAGCATTCCTTTACACCAACAATAGGCAAGCAGAAAGCCAAATCATGAATTCCCATTCATAATCACTACAAAGAGAATAAAATACCTAGGAATACAGCTAACAAGGGATGTGAAGGACATCTTCAAGGAGAACTCCAAACCACTGCTCAAGGAAATAAGACAAGACACAAACAAATGGAAAAACATTCCATCCTCATGGATAGGAACAATCACTATCATGAAAATGGCCATACTACCCAAAGTAATTTATACATTCAGTGCTATTCCCATCAAACTACCTTTGACATTCTTCACAGAATTAGAAAAAAACCATTTTAAATTTCATATGAAATTAAAGAAGATCCCATATAGCCAAGACAGTCTTAAGCAAAAGAACAAAGCTAGAGGCATCACACTACCCAACTTCAAACTATACTGTGAAGCTACAGTAGCCAAACCAGCATGGTACTGTTACCAAAACAGACATACAGACCAATAGGCAGAACAGAGGCCTCAGAAATAACACTACACATCTACAACCATCTGATCATTGACAAACCTGACAAAAACAAACAATGGGGAAAGAATTCCTTATTTAATAAATGGTGCTGGGAAAACTGGCTAGCCATATGCAGAAAACTGAAATTGGATCCCTTCCTTAAACCTTACACAAAAATTAACTCAAGATGGATTAAAGACTAAAATGTAAAACCCAAAACCACAAAAATCCTAGAAGAAAACCTAGGCAATAACATTCAGGACACATGCATGGGCAAAGACTTCATGACAAAAACACCAAAAGCAATTGCAAGAAAAGCCAAAACTGACAAATGAGATCAAATTAAACTAAAGAGCTTCTGCACAACAAAACAAACTACCATCAGAGTGAACAGGCAACCTTCAGAATGGGAGAAAATTTTTGCAATTTACCCATCTGACAAAAGTCTAATATTCAGAATTTATAAGGAACTTAAACATATTTACAAGAAAGAAAAGTAACCCCATCAAAAAGTGGGTAAAGGATATGAACAGACATTTCACAAAAGAAGGCATTTATGTGGCCAACAAACATATGAAAAAAGCTTAACATCACTGATCATCAGAGAACTGTAAATCAAAACCACAATGACATACCATCTCACACCAATAACAGACTAGGTATATTTGAACAGTATAAAGGTTGACACTAAAACTGCAATTAACTAAAATCAAATGGAAGAGGAGACTGAGAAGGGGAAAATAAAAAAAATGCTAATTTTATTGCTTATAATAAGGAGGGACTAGAAACCATATACAGAAATAGAGGATTAAATATTATATAAAGTTATAGTTATGGAAGTGTCACATCTTTACTTCATAGCACTTATCCCAGGGTAATTTTGCATTTACTTATATGATTGATTGGTTACAATCACCGTCCCACTAGGGGTAACTAATGAAGGGAACTGGTAAGGTCTGTTTTTGTTCACTAAATATATTCAGTCCTCGTTATTTGCGGTAGTTCTGTTCTACAAGCAATGAATTACCCATTACTGAACCATTTCTCCTAGGAGAAATATGGGGTTAGGTTCCTGAAAACCTCTGGTTTCAACATTTTCAACAACTGATCAACACATGATTTTGTTTTATATGTGTTTCTATTTAAAGACACATTTATACAGTTCATTCATTAACACTGAACTTAGGGCCCGCAACACTGCACTCACGCCTGAAGGAAGCCTATCTAGCACATATCTTGTTCTCTGTAAGGCCCATCACAGCCTTCTCCTGCTTGGAAACACTATGCTTGGGGTCCACAGTGAAATTACTAACTAAAAGCACAAACAGTGAAGAAACACAGCTCTGAACAGACGGGGAAAACAGTACCTGTTTACAATACGAGAGCTGAAACAAGAAGGCAGAGGCAGCCTTGTTCCAACTCAGCTGGGGGCATGTCTGTTGTATGACTCAGATTTTTCAGGGCTCTGCACATATCCACGCATGACTGAGAAACCTCTGTAAGTAGCAATTCTGGGGTTACAAGTAAAGTTTATCAGTGAGGTAAACTTGAACCTACTAATCAGTGAGGTAAACTTGAACCTACTAAGTCCACCAGTGAGTATCAACAACTGTACTTGTAGAATTGAATTGGATGTTATCATCTGACAACAAACATTTAGTTATTAGTGAGTGTATTTCTTGTGATTCTGGGCTGTGCAAGTCAAGGAATTTCTATGAAAAATACATAAATGTTGATACACATATCTGATTAATACACATACCTGTACGGGTTTTTTTTTTATGTAAAGTCGGCTTAGTGAATTTTGGAGGTAAGGGTCTTCGAAGAAGTAGAGGGGGCTTTTTCATTTTCATGAATAATAAGCGTTGTTTTTCATAATCCTTGGTTTAAGTGAGAATTGAAAAGGTTTTGAATACGTTTGAATTGTTGCTGAAAAATAATTAGAATTTAGAATACATCTTAATGAAAATCGTTCTGTACCAATACTTTACTGATTCCAAGCAGAATTGCTTTATGGAAAAAAAAAAGAGTAAGAAAACAATTCTTTAAAACTTCCATTAATAGAAATAATCCAGTTAAAATTTAGGGATATAAGTAAACACAGAGTGTTTAAAATATGTATATTACTACCCAGGATCATTCTACAATTTTCCATGTTAGTACCAAGTTCAACTTGCCAATGCTACTTCCTCTAGTAAATATTGATTTTTCAGAATAGTCAAAATGACTTTTTTTTTTCTCTCCCTTGAAAATGTTATCACTACAAATGTAGAAAGAGAATCTGGTCAGAAATCTGTAGAAGATCCCTTCGTTACATAAGCTTCTGAAGACCCACCATATCTAACCATTCACATACAAGCTTTCTTTCTATAATGGTTTTTCAACCACTGTGCTTAAGCCAAAACCATTCAATCCTAAAATAAGATGGGTTTCACTAGAATGAAATTTCCCAGGACTGCTGGATCCCAACTCATACTGTTTAGAAATGATGTGAAAAGATGCACCCCAAAAAATGTGCGTTTAGTTTGCAGGGCAACATCAAAAGTGCCTGGCACGGCACTATTCCATTGAACACCCTGGAACTGCACAAATGGGCCGTTTACCGCCAAAAGATAACTGCACACAAGCGCTCAAGGCGTACTCCATGGTCGTACGTTCCACTCGATGCTGGAAATCTCCCTTCCGTAGTATCCAAAGAGCTGCCTGGAAGTGCTGGACTCTCACACTACCCTTTACAAAAACAGCCGCTTCCCACACCAACCGGCTTTTCGTCTCCCATCTCCTTTTCCTCGGAATTCAGGCAGAGAGGTAAAGGTCCCGCGAGGTCGCTGGTCTTCCTGCAGGAGGCTGTTCCTGAGGAAGCATCAGGGAGCCCCACCCTCTAGGAGGCCAGTGAGACACACCCGGAGACACACCTCACCCGGGTCCGCGGAGCCGCCCTGCCACCGGACGCGCAGGCGCGGGGGCGAGACAGGCGGGGCGCGGGGCGCCGGGAGGGGCCGACCCCGCCCACTGCGCCGGGCGCGCGGAGCCCTCTCGCCTTCCTCCGCCGCTCTGTGGACTGTAGGGGAGGCTGCGAGCCGTGTGGGCCGGAGGAGAAGCCGGCTCCACGTGCAGCTGCTGTACGGAACGCCGTGGTGACAATTGTTATTACTTTTCTTATGCTTAATGGCAGTGACCATTATTATTTATTATTTACTTCTCTCGATTATACGTGCTTATCTTGGGTGTCTAGAATCTGGGCTGCCATTCTTTAATGCTTCACTTTAGCGCAGCCGGGTCCCGGGGATAATTTTGCAGTGCTCTCGAAAAGCGGGCATTCGGTTTTCTTTCTCTTCCTTTCATACAACTTGTTTTGTCTTTCCGATCCTTTAAAGTTCCTGGCTGAGGCTGGATTGTGTAGAAATAAGGGCATTAGGGATCCTAGCGGGCTGTAAAACAAACCCATTTCTCACTGTTCTGGTTATCGTATTGTGAGGTGTCGCCTCTGTCAAGGTGTTGATGAACCTGGGTGTGCAGTGATAGATAGTGGTGTGTTTGCAAAAATGTGTGTGTTTCTCTGGAGATTTGAGGGGGGAAAGAGCCGTAGAAAGAACTCGTCTGATAGATGTGGAAATCCCAACTCAGAAAGTAAACTAGTTAGAGCTTCCTTCCAGATTTGGTTTTTTTCCAAGTGCAGGAACTGCATTTTTTTTTAATGTTGCTAAAATGAGATAAAAGACGTTATAACAGACGTTGGAAAATGAAAGACTCGGTATAAATCTTTCTAGCTTTCGGGACCTTTCAAAATTCACACCATAACCATGTCTTCCTTTTTCTCCGTAGTAGCAAACATATTTTAAAACAATCAATGAAAAAAGTAGAAAAGTTTAGACAAAAAGTAATCGGACTCTGGAAAACATTATGCAACTTGTTTTCCTTTATAGTACTAGTGTGCTGTTTCTTTTCTTTGTAAGATTACTGTGTCCCAATTATACTGCTGCCCCAGACCATGAATTTATTTCCACTTTTGCTGTGTCTACACCATAGATTCATTAGTTTCTCAGAAATACAAAGCTGAGAACAAAAGGCAGATCTCATGGCCAAGATTAGTCTCAAGGAATATATATTGTGCATACTTTGTAAATGTGAAAAAATGTTTATATTATTAAGCGTAAAAAATGTCAGTGTATAAATTGAGTCAGGTACCTATGCTCTTCAAGTTCATTGGAACTATGAGAACTACTGGAATTCAGTTTTACTGACTGACGTTTAGCCTTTAAACTTTATGCTTAGTTTTGCATAGTCAAAAGTAAGCCTTTTGAATGCTTTTCGAAAAAATGCTTTGTCACACGTGGAATCTGCAGGCATCCGGGTTTCATTCCTTGTAGATTTCTTGTAGCAAGTATGAGACTAAAACCTAGGGTGGTTTAGTATGTAATCTCCTTAGGTGTAAACGATTTGTCTTCTGCTACTTACGATTTCTACCACTTAGTACCAAACATTTAGGCAAATGACATAGTTATTATGAAAATTAAATTCATGACTTGGTATGTTATATATATATATGTTATTCTAACATGTCCAACATGCTTTGTCTATGGAAATGACATATCAGTGTGGGATAGGTTTAGACAGGACAAATGAAATTCAATTTAGATTATTTTATATTTCTTATATTTTTGAAAATATTACCCTCTCAGTTTTCTTTCCTTTTTTGTATAATAATGATGTGTTTTGAAATAATGAATAGCTCTCTCTTTGATTTTAAGGGTCTGCTTTTCTTGATGCTTGTACAGTCAGCCTTTTTATTTGTTCCATCTCTTTTGCAGTTTGGCAGAACCTTATGAAGGAGCTTCCCAAACTGAACCACAGTACTTTCACTCTATTAGCAAATTGTATTAAAGATGCCAAGGTAATGATGAGTGCCAAGGTTATAGACATCCTGCATTTTTTTTAAATGTTGCTAAAATGAGATAAAAGCCTTATGCAAAAGCAACCCTAGGCACCCCGCAGGTAATGCTATTGATTTCCCTAATATGTGGGAAATGCTTGGGGAACCTTAGATTTACTGTTGGTTCTATTGAAATGATGTAAAAAGTATTGCTAGACATCTTCATTATTTTCCATCGACCTGTCTCTTATTTATTTATTTACCTTTAAAATAGGACAGAATTTTTCTAAACAGTTTGGCCATTGTAGTTTTAACCTAATGTTTTCCCTTATGGAAATAATGGTGTAATTTGTGTTTTTATGTTCATATTAGTTCTTTAAAGTACTGTTAAAAAATGAATAGTTATTTTTGAGCACATATTCATTCAACTATTGAATCTCCAGAGTAACCCAGGGCACTAAAATGCTTTTGAGAAAGAGGTGTTTTCTTGGTCTGAATTTACCTGTATATATTAATTATATGTACAGGGAAATTTCTTCACCAGTCACAGTGGCTTAAATGTACCCATTTATTTCATGTGTTTTTGTTTTCATGCAGTTGCCTAGAGAATAGTTTTATATTTTCTCAAATGTGAATAAAGATATTTTGAAGAAGTTGCTACTCTTTTTTTTTTTTTTTTTTGAGACGGAGTTTCACTCTTGTTACCCAGGCTGGAGTGCAATGGCGCAATCTTGGCTCACCGCAACCTCTGCGTCCTGGGTTCAGACAATTCTCCTGCCTCAGCCTCCTGAGTAGCTGGGATTACAGGCATGCGCCACCATGCCCAGCTGATTTTTTGTATTTTTAGTAGAGACGGGGTTTCACCATGTTGACCAGGATGGTCTCGATCTCTTGACCTCGTGATCCACCCGCCTCGGCCTCCCAAAGTGCTGGGATTACAGGCGTGAGCCACCGCGCCCGGCCAGAAGTTGCTACTCTTTTTACCCCACATCTCACTGTAAATACAAAAACTTCATTTCTGTTTTTCACTATTTTAAGCCAATTATTTCCTTTTGTCTTTCAAGATGATAGTTATTTCCTTTGTTTGAACTGGAGATCCTGGGATTACTTTTTAAAAAATTATCGATAAGGAAATGTCATGCAACCTTTATCATGGAATTAAAAAAATATCCAAACACAAGGAAAGGACAATGTCTGTCTGTTTTTAAAAGTGCATTCATGAATTTAGTCATTCATTCCAGAATCATTTATTGGAAACTTGCTACGCATAAGTTACTTTACTAGGTGCTAAACTTTAAACTTTATTAAAATGACTTATAATGATTCATTTTAGGCTTTATAATTTAGACATTGAAATGAAATTTTAAATCATTTCCAAAGACTCCACTTATCTGCATTATAACTACTTGAGGGGTTTTTTTTTTTAATTTTAAATCTCTTATTATATTGCTTTGGTAGAATAGTGTTGTTTATTCACACTCCAATTCTCAGAAACAATTTTGGGTTTTTTTTTTTTAGCTGCAGTGATTATTTTAGACTGTCTGCAACCAGTTAATATTAGGTATTTGTGTATATTGTATGATTGTGTCCTTCACCAAAAAAAGTTCAATGATATTTGTTTCCTTATTATTAAGCACTTAAGCATGAGGAATGTTCATTACTATGTGGAAGGCACTGTTTTAAATGTTGATTTTGTTTTAGCTTCACAATTACCACATTAGTTGAGGATGCTGGTATCTGCATCAAATTTCAAGCGCAGGGTGCATAGCACAACTCAACTCAGCTGGGTTCAGATCATCTAGCTACCCCTTGTCAGCTCTGTGCCCTTGGACCAGCTGCTTAACCTAAGCCCCAGGGTTTCCTCATTTGTAAAATTGGGTTAAAATGATACTTACCAAAGGGCCTTGTGAGGTGTTAAAGAGATAATCTGTGTCAGGGGCTTAGTTCTCTGCCAGCCACAGAGTCAGTGTACAGTAAATGTTGTTAGAAAATGAGGCCAGGCACGGTGACTCACACCTGTAATGCCAGCACTTTGGGAGGCCGAGGCAGGCGGATCACGAGGTCAAGAGATCGAGACCATCCTGGCCAACGTGGTGAAACCCCCGTCTCTACTAAAAATACAAAAAATAGCCGGGCATGGTGGCACGTGCCTGTGATCCCAGCTACTCGGGAGGCTAAGGCAGAAGAATCACTTGAACCCAGGAGGCGGAGGTTGCAGTGAGCCGAGATTGGGCCACTGCACTCCAGCCTGGCGACAGAGCAAGACTCCATCTCAAAAAAGAAAGAAAGAAAGAAAGAAAATTTAAAATGAAACAAACTGCCCAGTTTTCCAATGTCCACACCCCTGCTTTCTGTGATAATAGTTTAAGGTTATTGAAATATTGGCAGGCTATAAATCCTGGGCATGTATCCACAAAATTTATCCACAAAATGTCACACTTAACTTTCCTAATGTCTCCAAATGTTGGCAATTCTAGTTTGCAGTTCTCAGATTGTGGCACAAATGCTGTGCTCTAGACAGTGTCCTACATTCTGTCACTGGTCTTTATACTCTTCTGGGCAGCACAGGAGCTGTGGGACAGCTTGTGCCCGAAAGAGTCGTGGTACAGTGATGTAAGGAGGCCTTCACTCTCCCCCACGTGAGTTGGGTCTTCGAGCTGCTGTCACCATTGATTGAGCTGGGCTGAATCCATGATGAATTTCAACCGGTAACCCAGGGAAGAAAGCCTCTTTGTTCTCAGCATCTTCCAGGCCACTTGGTGTGCCTAACAAAGGTGAAAAGGGCCTACAATGTGAAGCTCCTTTGAATGGCTGGAGGGAAAGGTCTTAAATGCACATGATCTTTCTTAGTTTTTTTTCTAATGTGCACACTGGACTATGGTAGATGAGCCTTCTGAGTTCCTGTTCTGGCTGGGATTTAGTCCTAAACTTAGGAGGAACATGTACCCGATCAAGTGTCTGAGCTGCATGCCCTCTGTTCAGCCCACAGCAAACACCTGTAGTAATTAGAACTGCAAGTGAGAAAAACGTTTTGTAATGACTAATTCTTCATTCTAATGTCAACTTACAACCTTAAACAGTAGATATGATTTGCTTTTCAAACCTAGCATTCTGCTTATACTACTGTCCTACTGAGTATATGTTTGATTTGTAAGTGTATGAGGCTAAAAGTTGCATATGGGAGCAAGGGCAGGACACGGAAGGGTGAATTGTATTCTGTGTGTTGAGTGTTGATAAAGAACTTGTATTTCTTATACCACAACTAGATAACTAGAAGTGTAACTTATGTTTCA